AAGATTTTCACTCATTTAATGTCACTCATCAATCTGTTTCTTTGAAATTCACTCCGGTAATCTCAGCTATATTCCTCAAGCGTGTAAAAATCACCTTCCTCAACATTTGCTTCATTTATTAATACAGCATAATCATGGGACGTTCGAGATAGTTATAGACTCGTTGGTAAGGCCTCCTATGTATACCATGCATGAAAAATCCAGCAAAACTAGACACTTTGTTCAATTTATCGTGCTAATTCTAATGCTTATTACAAATTACGCAATTACCCAAAAATAAAAAGTACATGAAACATTAAAGATATTCTATATATTTTGTATTTTGTATAGGATTCCGTATAGGGACAATAAACTTCTCATAATCTGTACAAAAAATAATCAGGATTAATCTGCCTGCTTACTGTGAACATGTGATCATCCTTTTGGGCCCAGGCCCTCGCCCAGATGATCACTCTGTACGAACTCCCGCTAAGACCGAGTTTAAACCATTTACTATAATACTGAAAGCGTTATAGCGCCTCGTGAGAAGTTCGATACTTCCTTTTCTGAAGCTACATAAGCACACGCCCCAAATCAAGCTGACGGGTCTGATTTTCTACCATCCAGAGCCATGCCGTCTGCAAGAGAATACGCTTGGTCGATCCGCGACTTGTTGACATACTCGGCGGTGAAATACCCGATCAAACTGACAATTAACACCACCAGTAGTATGATAAGCTTCACGTGGATGCACAGATATTTGGAGTACGCAAAGGCCAGCACAAAGCCAAGTGATTCCCACAGGCGGTAATTGGAGAACGCGGCCTCTTGGTTATCGTGAAAGAACACACCGTACATGGCTGAGGAGAAGAAAATACAAGATAAACAAAATCTCCGATATCAAAATACAAATTCTATTTGTTGGTCTCTTCACACAACCCAGGCCTGGTTACACAAGCGACATAACGACACAATCACTTAGGACGGCATTGTGAACGCCGACATAACGACATAAGGAAAGATCAGTTTTTTCTCTTATGTCGTTATGTTCATGCCGTTATATTGCTATTATGTCATTATGTCAGGATGTTCACACTGCAAACATAACGACGTAACGTCCTTATGTCTTTATTTCGTTGCGACGCTAGTGCATGTGAACTAGGCGTTACGGTACAGAGGTCGTAGCAATGAGATGGTGATGATAAACGGGGATGGTGGAACTGAGGCAAGGTTCCAGTGTATTAGTTTGGTGAATGTCGGATCACAAACGGAGACGGAGTTAATATTGCCATAACTTACACTTCACTTTCCTGTGTTACAAACGACATGTTGATAACTTTTCGGGCTGAGAGGCTTCAAAGTCTACTTCCAGATATCTTTCTAACTTATTGGAGATTCATAGAAAATGGCGGATTCTTTCTTGGGGCAAATAGCATCCCGTTATTTTTCGAGAACTGCAGTTAAAACACATGTTTCTGTAAGGTTTGCAGTGGTCTAACTACATTACTGTGTCTTACCATTGATCTGAGTTTGCCAAACTGCATCACAGTATCCCAACAGCGCAGCAATAACATAAAACACCCAGACCAGGTGGTAGTTAGGCCTCCAGATTAACATGACAGTAATGACAGCGATATGAATTACCGCTCCACTGATGAAGACAGGAATTCTCCCAGTGTACTTGGTGAGGCGGCCAAGCGTCAGAGAAAAGAATGCGTCGGTAGCGCCAAAGCAGATCATCACGAATCCAACACGATGGATTCCGAGAGAACATGTAACGAAGGCCTGAGAAAAACAAGTTAGAAATACATTGTTATAGCCGCTAAACATATGAGGTATTGCGATGACGAGGGTAGTGATTTATGACGTGCCGACAGAATTGTCACAAGATTTAATAGCTGTTATTGTAGTTAAATCGAAACCAAACATTTTTTTTCCTTTTCGTCGTCGTCAAATTTTATCAGTGTAGTGAAAACGTTTTTAAGATAAACTGGAAAAAAAGGTTTCAACTATTCTTTGCGCATTGTTTTTACCGTTAAGTAAAGGTAGTGTTCGGCGATAATATTTTGTAAATGAATAATGTCGGCAAACTGTTTGGAATGTATCAACAAAGCTCGTCCAAACGTTCTTGTTTAAGATGGAATCTTAAATTCGCTATTACATCCTCATTGTCCCTAAGATTATTCGCTGTCATGACATGATTGTTAAAACGATTAAGACAGTTTAGAAAATAAACTTAAAGTAGATATTTTACCGCGGTAAAGTCGGCAAACGTAAAAGCCTGTTCCAGTCCACTGAACATGGTCAGCGGCAACACCAGAAGCATGCGCATATCCGTCAAGTGTTTTGCAGTGGCGATCAGTAGGCTCGCTCCAGACTCTTGCTCCTTTCTTCGGTCCAGACTCCCAGTGAGTCGGTCAAGCAACGCGATTATCAAAAGCACTGCAAACACGCCTGTGGCCAAGTAAATACTCAGCAGTCTGATCACCAGTTTACGGTCATACTCGTCCGTGGCGTTCGTCAATTTAGGAGGGTTACTACAAAACCGCGCTCCACACACCTCGTCGGCGTTTTCACGGAAGGTGTCGTTCACTCCCTGCTGAAGGACAAGGGACGAGATAAGATTCCCCCAGATCTGGCCGCTCTGAAAGATCAGGAAAAATATGCCGAAGTATCGAGTCACAACAGCGTCTTGTGTCTCACGGTTGAGCTCTGCGTAACGGATTCCAGTAGTGGTCAGGTAGGCACATTTTGACGACCAGAGAGGTGCCGCACAAATACCTAAGAGCAGAAAATGACATCTTAGCTGCTACATAACAACATCAGATATCTTACAATATCTCTCTTACGTGATTGTCAAAAGCATAAATTTATTAAAAATTCCGAATTCCTTTTTTTATCTCTTAAAATGTTCAAATTTGCCATCATTTTGTCTCACCATTCGTCTTCGTCGTCTCTCTGTAGCGAAGTGGTGTAGATTAAAGAATAAGTGACTTTAAATGATAGGCGACAATTTTACGGATACAACACTACAGGATGAGATCCTTTTTAAGTAAATATATAACTCACGAACTTGCGTTCCATAATGCATGTCACATCCCTCGAAATTGTTGTTTGCCTCTCGGCTTTCTTCATTAGCAGAGACGGTTGATCAAAAAAAACTAAATGAAAAAATCGTGACACAATCGCGTTTCCTCTTGTAAATGGTAAACAATTATGTTCAAATCCACTTACCGATTATGATAGACGCAGGGATAAGAGTTCCCCACCTGGCGTAATAATTAGCCACGGTGTATAAAACATAGCCAGTCATCGCTAACACCAAAGTCCACTTGCATCCGAGTCGACCAATCACAAAGGGCGGTACGAATATACACGACAGGATCAGCGCTGCATAAATTACACTCAGCGAGGCTAGACCCAGGCCCTCATCTTTGTTCAAACTGCTCTGTAAGTTTTGAAGCGATTGAAAGGCGGTGAAGAGAAACAGGAAACCCAAGCTAATCACGTACACATTCTTGGTGATTTTTCTTTTCTCTTTCTTTCGTTGCTCGGGTGTAAGCTGTTCCGCTTCTTCCTTGTCGTTGTCAACAACTAAGTTCTTAGCGCTTGCTCTGGCATCTTCTAGCGGCTCGTCAGTTCTATCGGCCATTCTCTCGTTTCCTCAGACTGTTAAACGTTAAACTACGTCAGAATTTAAGTTCTTTTCACAAACAGACTTTGGCTAACACATCCAACGGCAACAAATCAAGGGGAAAACCTTTCTAATATAAGCTGTTGAGAAGCATATCGGCATATGCAGTAGGAAAATGCAAGTATTGCAGATGAACGTTTTTGTAGTCTAAACGCTGCGTAAAACGTTTTGAAATAACAAAGTGGTAGGTAATAGATGAGTTAGTTTAGATACAATAAAGGTGCAGCAGATAAAGTTTGTTTTGCGTCTATTTTTTTTAGGTAACATTTTTATTCAAAAAAATCGGCCGTAGCCTTCTAGGAAGACTTTTATGCAGGAGGCTAAGAGCTACCCACTTCGTGAAAATCTATGGCTTTCGCTCGTCCGGATGATTTGTTCCGTCACGTATGCGCCAATTTTGTTACCCGACCTGTCTTGCTTTACAAGACCGTTGATCGATACGTGCTAACAAGCTTCTTTACTGCGCATACTCGACAAATTTCTTACTACTTACCCAGCTATCGGCATCAGCAGCACAAAACGGAAAAGAACCCTCCACCCCCCTTCCCTCGTGCGTTTGGTTTTTCGCGTATTCAACGAGAATATGGGAATCAATTTCCCAGTCGGTGTATAGAGAGTTCATTTGCAAGCACTTCACATAGCCCATACATGATTTAATTAGGGATTTTAAGCAACCCACAACGGCGACGGTAACGGAGTACAGTGACTCCGCACGTGCGTCATAGATTTTTGTTCATTTCTCTGCCGTTCTGTGCAAACCGACAACGTGAAATACCCAAATTTTGCGAAGTTTCTCGGGAAGTGTGGAGCCACGACGACCACTTTTCGACCTTTTCTAAATCTATACGCTGTCTTACAAATTCAGTTTTGAGATAGCTCTGAGACTAACAGACAAACTGAATGACTCTGGAGTATCCCCAGTCTCATTGCTTAAATATTAAAAATATATATAATTATATAAATTCATTTTTCGATCAACGTTTCCCTCGAAATTTGTTCGCACTACGACGAAAAACAACGTTTGGTGTTTGCAAAAGTATTGAAAATTCTGTGATCATCAATTTTTCGTTTCTGCAATCCTATTCGCACTTACAGGACCACAATCACAGCATTTTGAGTTATTTTGGCCACGTAATTGAATTAAACCTGAAAATAGGAGTTTACTAAGATAGAAAAACACCAAAGAGATAACAATAAACCAAAAAGAAAAAAGGATGGAGAAGAGTGACACGGATTACAATCGACGAACTTTAAAAATCTAGGCTAAACTTTTCAAGATGGGCAAACCGTGACGTAACTCCTTTAAGCATGCAAAGTTTTTCGTGTGACAGATATGTCAAATATTTGTATACGCTGCGTATTATTCGTTGTGAAATATGATGACCGTTCGAGGAACAAAGGATTTTCTCGCCTGACAGAAAATTCACGGCCCGAGTTGACGGGATCTTTCAAGTTTGATGGCACTTGCGTAAACTTTCGTAGGCGAAAAAAGTCGTTCACACTAAAAATGGCTTCGTGTTGACAGATTTTTTTGCACAACAAACATAATTTTGCGTAGTGCGAACAGGGCTCACCTACTCTATCACAAGCGCGAAGCGACATCATTAACGACAGGTTAAAGTTGTAATTGGAGACTTACTTGCATTTGAATTACAAACCAACTGCGGCCGGCTTGACGACGAGAGCTACAACTGTCTGACCCTTGGCTGATAATTGCGCTACTCATCAGCCAAAACAACGTTTATGTTTTCGTCGGTTTCGTGTGCAGTGAAGCAAGTTGCTTTGAGTAAATACAGAATATAAGGGCGTTTAGCGGGTGTATTGGGGGCTGGGGAGGCTCATGAGAGACATATGTCACGATATGGCATGCTGTGTAAACAGAGCATGATGTTACTAAGGTTATTAACAATGGTTAATACGAATTCCAAATCGAAATTTGCATTATTTTGTCGGGATTTTAAACTCCTAAATGGCTAGACGCTTTGGTTTATCGAATCGAGCCGAACCCGAAAGAGAAGCATTTCACAGAAATGCAGAATTGTTCTGAGCCCTTTGTAATGCTTCAGTAGATCAGCTAAATATAAAACAGATAAAGTCATAAAGGATCAAACGAAGATGGCTGAAAGAGACGACTGGATCGTGACTGAAGAAGAAATATACCTTTCTAAATGATTGATTTTCACTTCTTCTCACTCCGCACAAATATAACTCGGCGATTTTGAGAATATCGAGTATCTTTATCCCGTTAGATAACCTCTATTTAACAAAACGCGATATAGTGATTTGCGAATGGAACTGTGTCACGACAAGATAGGTAGAACTCCAGCTTGCTCCAGTCGTCGCAAAGTTTCTGGGTCTGTGCACTTCATTCAATCATCGCACCCCAGTGTAATTGTAATACGGCTACCTTATGACATGTACTTTACCCATCAACGAACAGCAACTAGAAATTCCATTTCAAAATAATTGAACTGGATTTTGAGTTCATGGAGCGATTAACAAATGTCTCATAATTAACTCCTTGTCGTAGTGACATCATTGTTTGTTTTTTTTTCTTTTTCGCCAAACTTGGCTACAGAGCGTATCAAGAATTGTTAAAGATTAAAAACAGGAAAACCACAATGTTTGAAACCGGGAGCAAGGTAGCGAAAGAACGCGAAGATCATGCATTGGATTGCATGCGACGATGGATAAACGAGGTATTTCCCGGACAGACTACCAGCTTCTGGTGAATAGAATTGTACGATAAGCGTATTGTACATACCTGATACACACAAAAGATTGTGTCTCAGCAGTAATTCCAATAATTACGCAGGTATTCTTCCAACGCCTGACGATCGCCCACTCAATACGGACCTTGTAACAGATGTAATTTGAGCAGCATGAAGCGAAGAGGGACTGGAACGAGCCAGACTCTATGTTTACTTTCAGTCAACATAGGAACTAAAAGGCAGTTAGGGATTAAAATGAATGTATACACTGTATTTATGTAGGGTAAAACTTCTGCAACACCTTCTTAAAATACTGTACTTTAACTCTTGACAGATCTGTTTCTATTCCATGATCCAGGCAATATTGACCCGCCGGGGTACTCTCAGAAAAATTGGGTTGGGATGTGTGGCCCGCATCCCAAAACCCTTACCCTATTTATAAGCAAAATCTGCGATTTTCCCTGCCCTATTTATGACCTGAAAAAGTAGCTTCTTCCAAAAAAACGCAGTTCGTCCGGGAAAACGGGCTAAAAAAGCTCCAGATAGCTCGTTTAATCGGAATGAAATTTCCGCTCGTGCTGAAAAGTGAACTTAGGCATGCGCAGTGATTTTGTTTACCTGGAAACAGGATGGTTACTAAGGAAATGGAAAACAACAGTGACTTAATGGAGGCAAGGAAATGCGGTACGAAACTGCTCGGAAGCCATGGCTTGGATATATGACGAACAGGACGAGCTTTCTGGTGCACATGTATGTGGCCAAACACAGATTTCGTTTGTGTTCATTATCCTTTAGGTTTCCACTTGACAGTCTTAAAATGAAGTAGGGCTATTTTGTAGCTAGAAATTACCTCCAAAGCGAGCATGCGATCGTTTTACCTGTATCCATTTTTCTGCAAACCAAGGCAATCACGAGTTAGTTTAGAGTCCCCGGGACTGGGAAATATCCCCCAAGTTCCAAGAAATCGAGCCAAAGTTGGTCAAAATCACGATGCGCGTAAGGCGGTCTTTGCTACCTTTTTTCAGTCTTAAAATGAAGTGGGGCTATTTTGGGGCTAGAAATTAGCTCCAAACCGAGCGTGCGATCGTTTTACCTGTGTCCATTTCTCTGCAAATCAAGGCCATCAGGAGTTAGTTTAGAGTACCCGGGGCTAAGAAGTATCCCCCAAGTTCCGGGAAATAGGAGCCAAAGTTGGTCAAAATCACGATGCGCGTAAGGCGGTCTCGGCTACTCTATCAGTCTTAAAATAAAGTGGCGCTATATTTCGGCCTAGAAGCTCGAAACCGAGCGTTTAAATATTTTTCCTCTGTCCATTTCACTAAAAACAAACGCCATCACGAGTTAGTTTAGAGTCACTGGGACTGGAAAATATCCCCCAAGTTCCGGGAAATCGAGCCAAAACTGGTCAAAATTACGATGCGCGTAAGGCAGTCTCGGCTACTCCGTCAGTCTTAAATAAAGTGGGCTTATATTTCGGCCTAGAAGCTCGAAACTGAGCGTTCAAATATTTATTTTTTATCCATTTCACTGAAAACCAAGGCCATCACGAGTTAGTTTAGAGTAACTAAGACTCGGAAATAACCCCCAAGTTCCGGGAAATCGAGCCAAAACTGGTCAAAATCAGGATGCGCGTAAGGCAGTCTCGGCTACTCCGTCAGTCTTAAATAAAGTGGGCTTATATTTCGGCCTAGAAGCTCGAAACTGAGCGTTCAAATATTTATTTTTTATCCATTTCACTGAAAACCAAGGCCATCACGAGTTAGTTTAGAGTAACTAAGACTCGGAAATAACCCCCAAGTTCCGGGAAATCGAGCCAAAACTGGTCAAAATCAGGATGCGCGTAAGGCAGTCTCGGCTACTCCGTCAGTCTTAAATAAAGTGGGCTTATATTTCGGCCTAGAAGCTCGAAACTGAGCGTTCAAATATTTATTTTTTATCCATTTCACTGAAAACCAAGGCCATCACGAGTTAGTTTAGAGTAACTAAGACTCGGAAATAACCCCCAAGTTCCGGGAAATCGAGCCAAAACTGGTCAAAATCAGGATGCGCGTAAGGCAGTCTCGGCTACTCCGTCAGTCTTAAATAAAGTGGGCTTATATTTCGGCCTAGAAGCTCGAAACTGAGCGTTCAAATATTTATTTTTTATCCATTTCACTGAAAACCAAGGCCATCACGAGTTAGTTTAGAGTAACTAAGACTCGGAAATAACCCCCAAGTTCCGGGAAATCGAGCCAAAACTGGTCAAAATCAGGATGCGCGTAAGGCAGTCTCGGCTACTCCGTCAGTCTTAAATAAAGTGGGCTTATATTTCGGCCTAGAAGCTCGAAACTGAGCGTTCAAATATTTATTTTTTATCCATTTCACTGAAAACCAAGGCCATCACGAGTTAGTTTAGAGTAACTAAGACTCGGAAATAACCCCCAAGTTCCGGGAAATCGAGCCAAAACTGGTCAAAATCAGGATGCGCGTAAGGCAGTCTCGGCTACTCCGTCAGTCTTAAATAAAGTGGGCTTATATTTCGGCCTAGAAGCTCGAAACTGAGCGTTCAAATATTTATTTTTTATCCATTTCACTGAAAACCAAGGCCATCACGAGTTAGTTTAGAGTAACTAAGACTCGGAAATAACCCCCAAGTTCCGGGAAATCGAGCCAAAACTGGTCAAAATCAGGATGCGCGTAAGGCAGTCTCGGCTACTCCGTCAGTCTTAAATAAAGTGGGCTTATATTTCGGCCTAGAAGCTCGAAACTGAGCGTTCAAATATTTATTTTTTATCCATTTCACTGAAAACCAAGGCCATCACGAGTTAGTTTAGAGTAACTAAGACTCGGAAATAACCCCCAAGTTCCGGGAAATCGAGCCAAAACTGGTCAAAATCAGGATGCGCGTAAGGCAGTCTCGGCTACTCCGTCAGTCTTAAATAAAGTGGGCTTATATTTCGGCCTAGAAGCTCGAAACTGAGCGTTCAAATATTTATTTTTTATCCATTTCACTGAAAACCAAGGCCATCACGAGTTAGTTTAGAGTAACTAAGACTCGGAAATAACCCCCAAGTTCCGGGAAATCGAGCCAAAACTGGTCAAAATCAGGATGCGCGTAAGGCAGTCTCGGCTACTCCGTCAGTCTTAAATAAAGTGGGCTTATATTTCGGCCTAGAAGCTCGAAACTGAGCGTTCAAATATTTATTTTTTATCCATTTCACTGAAAACCAAGGCCATCACGAGTTAGTTTAGAGTAACTAAGACTCGGAAATAACCCCCAAGTTCCGGGAAATCGAGCCAAAACTGGTCAAAATCAGGATGCGCGTAAGGCAGTCTCGGCTACTCCGTCAGTCTTAAATAAAGTGGGCTTATATTTCGGCCTAGAAGCTCGAAACTGAGCGTTCAAATATTTATTTTTTATCCATTTCACTGAAAACCAAGGCCATCACGAGTTAGTTTAGAGTAACTAAGACTCGGAAATAACCCCCAAGTTCCGGGAAATCGAGCCAAAACTGGTCAAAATCAGGATGCGCGTAAGGCAGTCTCGGCTACTCCGTCAGTCTTAAATAAAGTGGGCTTATATTTCGGCCTAGAAGCTCGAAACTGAGCGTTCAAATATTTATTTTTTATCCATTTCACTGAAAACCAAGGCCATCACGAGTTAGTTTAGAGTAACTAAGACTCGGAAATAACCCCCAAGTTCCGGGAAATCGAGCCAAAACTGGTCAAAATCAGGATGCGCGTAAGGCAGTCTCGGCTACTCCGTCAGTCTTAAATAAAGTGGGCTTATATTTCGGCCTAGAAGCTCGAAACTGAGCGTTCAAATATTTATTTTTTATCCATTTCACTGAAAACCAAGGCCATCACGAGTTAGTTTAGAGTAACTAAGACTCGGAAATAACCCCCAAGTTCCGGGAAATCGAGCCAAAACTGGTCAAAATCAGGATGCGCGTAAGGCAGTCTCGGCTACTCCGTCAGTCTTAAATAAAGTGGGCTTATATTTCGGCCTAGAAGCTCGAAACTGAGCGTTCAAATATTTATTTTTTATCCATTTCACTGAAAACCAAGGCCATCACGAGTTAGTTTAGAGTAACTAAGACTCGGAAATAACCCCCAAGTTCCGGGAAATCGAGCCAAAACTGGTCAAAATCAGGATGCGCGTAAGGCAGTCTCGGCTACTCCGTCAGTCTTAAATAAAGTGGGCTTATATTTCGGCCTAGAAGCTCGAAACTGAGCGTTCAAATATTTATTTTTTATCCATTTCACTGAAAACCAAGGCCATCACGAGTTAGTTTAGAGTAACTAAGACTCGGAAATAACCCCCAAGTTCCGGGAAATCGAGCCAAAACTGGTCAAAATCAGGATGCGCGTAAGGCAGTCTCGGCTACTCCGTCAGTCTTAAATAAAGTGGGCTTATATTTCGGCCTAGAAGCTCGAAACTGAGCGTTCAAATATTTATTTTTTATCCATTTCACTGAAAACCAAGGCCATCACGAGTTAGTTTAGAGTAACTAAGACTCGGAAATAACCCCCAAGTTCCGGGAAATCGAGCCAAAACTGGTCAAAATCAGGATGCGCGTAAGGCAGTCTCGGCTACTCCGTCAGTCTTAAATAAAGTGGGCTTATATTTCGGCCTAGAAGCTCGAAACTGAGCGTTCAAATATTTATTTTTTATCCATTTCACTGAAAACCAAGGCCATCACGAGTTAGTTTAGAGTAACTAAGACTCGGAAATAACCCCCAAGTTCCGGGAAATCGAGCCAAAACTGGTCAAAATCAGGATGCGCGTAAGGCAGTCTCGGCTACTCCGTCAGTCTTAAATAAAGTGGGCTTATATTTCGGCCTAGAAGCTCGAAACTGAGCGTTCAAATATTTATTTTTTATCCATTTCACTGAAAACCAAGGCCATCACGAGTTAGTTTAGAGTAACTAAGACTCGGAAATAACCCCCAAGTTCCGGGAAATCGAGCCAAAACTGGTCAAAATCAGGATGCGCGTAAGGCAGTCTCGGCTACTCCGTCAGTCTTAAATAAAGTGGGCTTATATTTCGGCCTAGAAGCT